CGGCCTCAGCATGGCCGGACAAGCGGTGCGTCGGTGAGCGCCCGGAATCTGAACCCCGGCCGCCAGTTGCCAAGCGCGCACACTTAACCGTTAAGCCACGGGGCCGGCCCAAGACTTTAAAACTTTTAGAAAACATTGGAAAATATCTCTATGACCTTGGAACAGGAAAATTTTTTACACAGAATAAAAATCACAAACCATTAAAGAAAAGAATGGTTTAAATTTAAACACATTAAAATTTAAGCCTTCCAAAACTATAGGGACAGAAATCAGATCTGTGGGGGCTGGGGGCAAGGGGGCTTTGTTGCGGCAAAGGGACTGTTCTGTATCTTTGTTGTAGTGGTGATGCATACTGTATGTATCTATCAAAACTCACAGAACTGTACAGAACAAAGGGTGACTTTTACTGTATATAAATTACCTTAGTAAAAAATAATTTTTAAAAAATTAGCTTTGCAGGGCCGGCCCCGTGGCTTAGCGGTTAAGTGCACGGGCTCCGCTACTGGCGGCCTGGGTTCAGATCCCTGGCTCGCACCAACGCACTGCTTTTCCAGCCATGCTGACGCCGCGTCCCACATACAGCAACCAGAAGGATGTGCAACTATGACATACAACTATCTACTGGGGCTTTGGGGGGGAAAAAAAAAGGAGGAGGATTGGCAATAGATGTTAGCTCAGAGCCGGTCTTCCTCAGCAAAAAGAGGAGGATTAGCACGGATGTTAGCTCAGGGCTGATCTTCCTCACAAAAAAAAATTAGCTTTACAATAACAAAGACATGGAAGCAACCTAAGTGTCCATCAGTGGATGAATGGATAAAGAAAATGTGGTATATAGATAATAGAATATTAGTCAGCTATAAAAAAGAAGGAAATCTTGCCATTTGCAACAACATGGATGGACCTCAAGGGTATTATGCTAAGTGAAATAAGTCAGACAGAGAAAGACAAATACTGTATGTTCTCACTTATATGCAGAATCTAAAAAAAAAAAAAATTAACTCATAGATACAGAGAATAGATCGGTGGTTGCCAGAGGCAGGGGGTGAGGGGTGGGCAAAATGAGTGAAGGGGATCAAAAAGTACAAACTTCCAGTTATAAAATGAATAAGTCCTGGGGATGTCATGTACAGCATGGTGACTATCTTGAATAATACTGTATTGTATATTTGAAAGTTGCTGAGAGAGTAGACCTTAAAAATTCTCATCACAAGAAAAAAAATTTATAACTGTGTGGTTATGGATGTTAACTAAACTTATTGTGGTGATCACTTCATGATATATATGTAGGGGCACTTGCCAATGTGCCCCTTTAAAAACCATATGTCCTTGAGGCTCCTTGGCTGGGCTAGTGCCAACACTCACAGTGATAACAGTCCTGGGCTTGGCCAACCCAGCTGTTTTCCCATGGGATAATTAGCATAAAATAAAGACCATCAAAGATAAAAAGACCCTAACGGCCTGAGGGAACACAAAGGCAGGGGTGTGCGTGCGTGCGTGTGTGTGTGTGTGTGTGTGTGTGTGGCTTTGTGTGTGTGGCTCTGGTCCTTGGAATGCAGGTCATACAGGGACTATCCCCCTTGGCAAGCGTGAAGCCTTTTTTTTTTTTTCTGTTCAGCCATTTCATATAGGAGGAGGACACAAATAAATCCTCCCTCTTCAGATAATGGCAATTTTAATCTATCCCATAAGCATAGCCAGCGTGAAGCCTTTGTTCCTCTGCCTACTTAAGCAAGCTTCTCTCAGGGGGCTGTAGAGGGTGCACATCTCCTGTCGAGCCTGCCACCACTGGAACTTCCCTGTAAGTAACTCCCTAATAAACCCACATGTCTTGCCCCCAGTATCCAGGTCATTTCTTTGGTCTCTCAGCAAGATACCCTGCTGCCTTAGCCCAGCTGAGCATGCAGCCCTAGAATATACAAATAGGAAATCATGTTGTACACCTGAAACTAATATAGTGTTATATGTCAATTATATCTCAAAAAAAAATTGGCCTTCTGATTGACAAAAGACACATCCTAGCCTGGCGTCTTTGTCCGCTCAGGCTGCCGTCACCAAATACCATGTGCTGGGGGCATAAACAACATTGATTCCTCACAGTTCTGGAGGCCGGGAAGTCCCAACTCAAGGTGCTGGCGGATTTGTTCTGGTGACAGCTCTCTTCCTGGCTTGTGGTGAGGGCCTCCCTCTAGGTGCGTCCTCAGGTGAGAGCCGTCTCTCTTGTTACCTCTTCTTATAAGGCCACTAATCCCATCTGAGGGCCCCACCCTCCTGACCTCATCTAACCCTAATCACCTCCCAATCACCCACCTCCGAATACCCTCCGGTTGGGGCCTAGAGCTTCAACATATGAATTTTGAGGGACACAATTCAGTCCATAGCAATTGGGAAGAGATATTTAGAACAGAAGCAAATGACAAAGGATTCATCTCCAGAGTACAAAGAATTCTTCAAAAGCCAGCAAAAGAACAGCAGCCCAGTAGAAAAGTGAGCAACAAGTACAGATCAGCAGCTCCAGAGGAGAAAACTCCAGCGGCTGATAAACATGTAAGAAGATGCTGAACCACTGGTGCTCAGGGAGCGAGGAAAGGCAGTGCTGGACACCAAGCAGAGTAAAGACAAGTCTGACACCAGCAGAGAGCGTGGGGATGCACATCTCTGATACGGCTGAAGGTCTGTGCGCCTTCAACCTGGCACCTCCACCTTCCAGAAAGCAGCGTGCGCAGGCCCGGGGGAGACAGGAGAGGGTGTGGTGCAGCACTGTCCGTGGCTCTGTGGGGGCCGTCTGTTGTGATGGAACGCTGGGTAGCAGTTTCGAAGGGTGAACCACATGTCAACACAGGCAGACTCTCCTAAAACAAGCCATGTGAGAAAGCGAGGTGTGGGACAGACACCATTTTTGCCAAGTTTAAAAACACATCGTCAATAACATGTATTGCTTTCGAACGACTTCGTTTATAGTAAAAATACGAAAACAAGTTTCGGAATTATATTGAGGGGCACAGAAGAGGAAAGGGCTGAGGGGTAGAAGTGTCACTATATCTGCAGCATTTATTTCCTTAGAGACAGACAGGCTGGGAACAAACCGGGCAGAGTACCAGCATCTGGCAAACCCAGGTGGTAAACACATGGTGTCTCTTGTTATTATCGGGGCTTATCCACATAGTTTAAGAATTTCATAATTAAACACTTTTAAAATTAAGTAAATAAATCCCCTACGCAAAGTCTCAAAGATATCCGCCTATACTTATAGTTTTTCCTTTCACAAGTCCAGTATGTCTTTAATCCATTTGGAGTTTTTTGTTTTAATGTGGTTGGTGTAAGATAAGAGACCCGACTTTATTTTTCTCATTGAGCCAGTTTCTCCAAACCATCTGTTCTTTCCCACTATTTGTGAGATCACCTCTATCAGCCATTTTACTTTAATATTTGAAAGTGATTTGTGTGAGTTGGTGGGGGGTGGGGAGGAGGTCTCAAGAGTGGAGTGATGCTGGAAACCCAGATCCGAGAGCTGGGGAGCAGTTATTGGGTGCGTGTCTGAAGGAGCCACCCTTCCAATGGGGACAATTCCACATTCATCAGTGGCAGGGTCCTTCCCTCAGTGAGCACTGAGGGCCGTGCCGGGCTGGACAGCGGTGCTCAGAGCCCTGCGTCCAGAGCTCTAAGTCCAGGGCAGAGCTGGCCAGTGGTCCAGTGGGAGCCTCATGCAGGGCACCTTGGGGCAGCTAGCCAGGGGTGTCCTCAGTGCCCCAGGGAGGCCGTGAAGGTGGCCCTGGAGATGGACAGCAGGAAAGGGGCTGAGCTCTATTCTGAAGGAAGAAGGGACCTGCCACAGACCTGTGACGGGGACCGGCGAGAGGAAGGAGCAGACCACCGCACAGCCTGCACTGGGCACCCAGAAAAGGGGGCCTGGATCTGGTGGAGGGCCAGAGCCTCTGCCCGCTGTTCCCACCTTTGAGCAGGTGTCGGCCCCTCCTCCTCATGGACCCTCTTCTCCCACATAGTCACCCCCCTTGCAGGCCCGCCCTCCCGGGCCCTGAGCTGCCATCCTGGATGGATGACCAGTTCTCACCTGGGAGAAGGGGCTAGGGAGAGGTGAGAGGGAGGGATGACCAAGGGGTGGGAGGAAAGGTTTTGCAGGTGGTGGTGCCTTCATTATCGTGATTGTGGGGATGGTTTCACGGGTGCAGACATATTCAGGGCTCATCAAATCATACATTTCACACACGAGCAGCTTATTGTATGTCAATTATACCTCAATCGAGCTATAAACAAAAACTTACAATTTTGCAAACCAGATGAACATTCTGTGTTCGGTAGGTCAACTTAGAGAGGAGGCAGTTTCAGGGCTAGACCACACTCTCGCCCAGCAGCCTCCCGCAGCTGGGAGCACAGATCCACACTCGTGTTTACTGGTATTTTATTCAGTGGGAAAAGGATTTTTTATCACCTTCAAATTTAGGAAAGTACATTTCTTAGAGTAAAAATAGAACATGAGTTTGTAAGGCACAATTTAATCCTCCTGACTCAGCCAAGGTTTGCATGATTTCCTTATTCTCACATTTCGCTCTCAAGTTGCTGGCACCTGTTCTTTCTTCCTGTGATGACAGGCATCTCCAGTCCCCCTGAGCCCAGAGCGCTTTCCAGCCCACATTCCGCACCCACCACACATCCCTGCCGCCAAAATCCCCGCGGGGACACGCGCTGAGGAGCTGGCCAGGAGAGGTTTGTACTGGAGTCAGAACTTCCTTTCTTTAGCCTCAGGTCACATTTTCCACAGAAGTGAAGATCTAATTCACATCACTTCCCCTGTTGTGTAGAAATTGTCTACATTACATGTGATGGTGGAAGAGTTAAAAGTTAACTCTGCCTGTTTCTGACGAACATTTCTCATTCCTTCTTCAGGTGCTGTCTTGTTGAGATGCTCTGACACGTGGACGTGATGAGGTGCCCTCAAAACTCCAAAACTTGGAAATGAAATTATCCTCTGAGAGTTCAATTAGTGAGATCCATACTGATTATGTTTGTCACCTCAGGAAATAACACAAAAGATACTCAGTAAATAAATGACTAAAGTGTTACTAAGGCCTCTACCTGTCAACAAGGTGATGCGGGGATCTCATCCCAGAGAACTGAGCCGGGATCCAGGGGTGAATAGGACATCCGGTGGTTCCCTGTGTGTGGGGGGCTGTTTCACTGAAGGGCCCGGGCGAGAAAACAGGAAGTCCAGAGATGGATCCAGTCTCCGCCATGGTCCCTAGCACAGAAGGGCTGAGCTGGGCGGAGTCTAGGCCCCGGGATACAAGCCGGGAGTGTGGATGGCTCATCAGACTTGGGCAGCCTCTGCCATCTCCCAACTGGCCTTGGGTTTCACCAGAGAGGGAGACCCGAGACTCATCCCATCCCTGGAGGGGAGTGTATGCACACGCACACACAATCAGCATGCTGGGCTATACATTGGTCTTTTGTGAATTTGTCTGATGTGAGTGAGGACCTGCATGGGATGGTCTGCTAACACGCATTTTCTAGAAGCAGTCCCTCTCCAAGCCCATGACTGCAGTGCGAGTTGCCATGTTTATATGATGCAATCAACCCTTGGCCATGGTTTACTGAACAAGAGTCGGGCACCTGACCCAAACAGACGAATGTGCATCTTTCCTCAGGAATTTGGACGTGAGTCTGACAGAGGACTACTGTCTCTCTCTCCAGGAGGCTCGGCTACTGCTTGTACGCACAGTGGCTGGGACCTGGGTGCAAAGAAAGCTGATCTGTGGCGAGCGGAAGGTGCAGGTTCACGGGGCCAGGTGGAGGTGAGAGAAGGAAGGGAGATGAGCCCTGGGTCCCGGCTTCGTCCTGGAGCTCCAGTGCATCCTCCCCCTGGAAGGAGCCTGTGGAGGAGCCCAGGAGCTTCCCCTTTCATGTCCTCTCTTTGAATCTGAACAGCCAGAGTAGCTTTCTGTCCATGCATCCAACAGAGATGGGCCTGAGTGCCCCAAGGGAAATGCACGAGGGGGCTCATGCCCACCCCCTTCCCAGCCTGGGAAGCCGTGACCCCCGAGAACCCACCTGCCCTGCTCAAGGGGATGACACTGCCCAACTGCAGCACCATCAGGTCTCCGTGCAGAGCCAGGGACAGGCCTGGACATGCAGCCCAGGGCAGGGGCTTGACCACTGAGAGGCAGGCTCGGTCTGCCCCATGGGATAAGGACAAAAGGGTGTGAGGGTCAGAGAAGAGGGGAGCCCCTGCTGAGCCTCTGACTGCTGAGGTCCTCAGGGATCCATCACCTTACTCTCCCAGCGAGCCATGTGCAGACGCAAGGCTGAGAGGAGACGGGAGGGTCAGGAGAGCCAGTGGCACTCATGTCTGGGTCCCCAGCCGGGTGCTGGGCACAGCAGGTGCTCAGAGTGCACTTGGTGGGTGGACAGTGTCCACTGGGGTGGCCCAGCCCAGCAGGGACCACAGTGCATGGCCAGGAAGGAGAGGGGAGAGGAAGACGGACGGGGATGAGGTGAACAACTCTGACAACTGGGGACGCTCACGGGAGAGCAAACCAACCTGGGGCCAAGAACACGGCACAAGTCCGCTTTGGGAAATGGGCGTTAGTGCCGGGGCCTGACCTCCAGCCCTTTCTGAAGTGACCCGCAGGACAAAGCTCGCACCCGCAAGCCACAGTAGAATTTTACCAGGTTACCATGGCAACAGAGGAGTCAGCAGAGAGAAACTTCCCCAAATTAGCACTGCTTATTGAAGGCAGTTTTAAGGTTTGCTTTGCTTTCTGTGTTTACAAAGACGAAGGCACACGTCATAGTGTTACATCATAGCGACGTTTCAGGAGTGACCTGCGTGGCTTGCACAGTTGCATGAGCCAATCCATATAATGAATCTCCTATTGGTTCTGTCTCTCTAGAGAACCCTAATACCGTAATAAAAGGCTTGCTCCTGGAAACCGCTTTCCAGACTCTTCCGTCTTCCTGGAGCTGAGCCACTACTGAGTCCCAGCAGGTGGCCTTTTTCTTAACCAGACCCCCTGCTGGACAATGTTCACACCTCTACTGTGCATCCTGGCCTTCAAAGGCAGCAGAGCCTGCTCATCCAAGCTGGCAGGACACCCTCCCTCCTCGGGCCACCCCCCAGGGCCTCCCCAGGGGAGGACAGCTGCCCCAGCTCTCTGGCCTTGTGGGGGTCTCACGACTGCCCCAGCCCCTCACTGGCTGCAACTCCCCAATAACTGCTTTCAATGTTTTGTTTTCCCCCAGCAGCACCACAAGGACCCATTTACACGCCCTGCTGTGGACTTGATGCCACCACATTCTGGTCTCCGTGACAATAAGGAGCACCTTGAAATAGCAACCGCTGCTCCCTATGCCAGGTGGCCTCCCAGCTGGGATGGTCCGGGGACCTCCCTGCCACTCCGCTGCACCTACGAAGGCAAGAAGGGGCCATCTCTTTTCATAAAGTGAAGGGACAAGTGAGCGTGGGTGTCTGGGGCAGAGGGCTTAAGCACACGCTCTTACGGTGGTGGGAACTGACTGGGAGCAAACCAGGACCTTGCGGGGTACGGCAGCTCTCTTGGGGACCAGTCTGAGCATGTCCCCTCCCACCAGGAGAGCAGACAGCCTCTCCTGGCCTCGGGGTGGGCTCCACCTGCCTGAGGACGGAGGCTTCAAGCATTAGGAAGAAGAGTTTTCTAAGCTCTTCACAGAAAAAAGACAGGAAGGAAACGCCCCTTTCCTCTAACTGACCCAGTCACCAGTGATTCTTTTCAAGTGTCTTCCTTTTCCTTCTAAAAACTTTTGCAAAGTCTAACAGATACATGTTTTTATAGTAAAAAGATTATTTTTCAAGGAAATGCCCTTTCTGGCAAAACTCTATGACCTGTGCTTATGCAAATGGGCAGTACAGACAAGGAGTGGGGAACCACGCGCCTTGACACAAACAGCACAGAAAACAAGCCCCCGGGGCCAAGTGGCCTGAATGTCAGGAAGCAGTCATCCAAGGAACAAATGAGGGGCCAGAATTTCCCCATCTCCCTGGGCCTGAGGGAGGGTGCTGGTAATGACGGGGACGGGTCACCTGGGGGGCCTAAAACGACAGCCCCTGAATGACGGAGCACTAACTTCACCGGGATGTTCCAGCAAAGGACAGACTCCAGCGCAGATGGGAGTAGCCCCAGCCCATGTCACCAAAGGCCAATGGGGATCCTGTCTGCAGCCCACACACCCTGGTGAGGGAACCCAGGACACCAGGCCGGGGGTGGGGGGGGCTCAGACATGCTTCTCTGGCCCCCTGGTTTGACTTCCCTTTGCTAAGCAAAGGTCTTGAAGTGGGAGAGCAACAAGGAAAGATGGAGTTTGAAATGCCCCCTTCTCCCCACCCAGGCAGCCACCTCAGCACCCACTGGGCATAGGCAGGAGGAGAAGGGAGGCCAGCTCCTGACCCCGGGTCGTGGGGGACACCCCAGCAGCTTGGCTGCATCTCCACTCTCGAAGGAGCTTGGAAATGCTGCCCTCCCTCTGTGGACACCCATGTGGTGTGGGCAGCAAGCCGGCCTTGCTGCTTGGTCAGTCTGGCCCATGCAAAGGAGATGGGGCCATGGGGAGGGAGTGTGGACACAGCACAGTTCCCAGAGGAAGGGCCAGTCTCTGCTTCAGACGCTCTGCTGAGACTGTCTCTCAGCTAGGCAGCTGGGCGGAGGTCCCAGGAGAGCCCTGCAAGAGGCATCTGTGTGGAGAAGCCAGAGCTGATGTATTGAATTAAGACTATGCAGATCATGACCTGCGGGATGAGGGGGCACACGCCACCCACGAGGGGTTGGCAGGGAGCTCCCTCAGCATCCGAGCTCCCACTTTGGGGACCTGTAACCCATGGGGTCGTTTTGATTGAAGGCACAATTTCAATACTCACATAAAGGAAGTCAAGTTACAGGATTTATTACTTACAGATCCCAGAATGGGGGCGTGGGGGGCAATGAGCTGGGGAAGGGCAGTCCTCCATCCTAGGTCACAAGGGAGCAGGAGATAGAGAGCAGAGCAGCAAGCACCTGTCACTTATAAGGTGGTTGAGGTGGAGGTCACTAACTTTTCATGGGCATAATTCTAAACGGTTATTTTAAAAGGTGCCCCAGGGAAGGCAAAGCGGGAATTTATGGGGGGAATCCTAAGCTCAGGTCCTTATCTCAATGTCCAGACTCGTGTGAGCAGGTTGTCATACTGTGAAATGCCAAGGCAGCAACTCAGAATGGCTGTTTTCTCATCACAGCGTCCCAAGAACCCAAGAGTGAGCTGCAGACCAGCTTCCCCTTCAGAACCTGCTTTGCTTCAGCCATCCAGCGCCTGTCAGAAATGCCAGCAGACGCCAGGGTCACAGGGGACGACCAAGGGGCATCAGGACCCGCCTCCTGCACAGCTAAGGGGACCGTGTCTGCCCTGGGAAGCACCCACGAGTGGCCAGGCCAGGGCAGGCAGGATGCCGTGGTCCTGCATCAGCGCCCAACGAGGGCAGTGAGCAGCCAGGCCTTGTGCATCTTCTGGGGTGCGGGCACCAGCAGCCCCCTTCTGCCTTCTCCCAGAGCTCCCCAAGATGAGCGCTCCTCATTCAGTGATGGGTGCCAGCCCAGGGCCCACACCCTCCCGCTGCCTGGTCACCCATGTGCCACAGGCACTGAGGATGTGTCTGCTAGCAACCAACCCACAAAGGGCCTCAGAAGAGGCACTTCTCAGCACCACCTGTGCCCATCAATAAACCTCCCTGGGGAGGACAGGGGTCGTCACGGAAGCCTGCTCCAACCACAGCTTCACAGTGTGACCGAACGCTGTGAGCTCCCCGGTGTCCCTCCACCACACCCGCCCCCTTGGATGGAAAAGGAGCCAGCCAAAGTCCTAAAACATTCCTGCCACCACCCTGCAATGGGAACCCTCCTGGGGGCTTTGGAGCAGAGGGGCCCAGAGGCACAGGCAGTCCTGATGAGGCAGGGCACACCACCTCAGCGTTCCTCAGGGGAAGCTGCTGCTCAGAGAACCAGGATGAGTGGCCTCATGGGCCAGCCACACCACTGGGATTAGTGAGGGCAGAGCGGAGAGCAGAGAGCAACAGCATCCTCCCCGGCCCTCAGGGGCCAAGCAGGCCCTCAGGCCTCCAGCGAGGGTCACCCGGGGCAGCTCCCAAAGAGAGAGGGGGGTTCCCTTTGCTGCAGGCAAGCCATGCCTGTCCTGGTTTGCAGGAGGCCCTGAGGTCTGGGTGCAGCTATGTCGGGCTAGGCCCCCTCCTGGCACAACCCATCTGCCCAGGAAGACCCCTCCCCAGCTTTGCCTACATATGGCCTGGTCTGTTGGGTAGTGGAAACCCCAAAGTGTCCGAGAACACATCTAGGAATATGCCCAGAGAATTGAGGGGAAAGGCACAGTGACCATCGGCCCACTGGGTGGGGGTTTTGGGAAGGGGGCCAAGGACACAGGTCACCCCCAGAAGGTAGGAGCAGCATATCACCTAGAGCTTAGCAGAGGATGCAAAATCCGCCAGCAGCCTGATGTCATTAGGGAACGTCAGCCACGCCCCACCGTCAACCACCAGCAAGGCCCCGGTCACATAGGATGCCAAAGGGCTGGCCAGGTAGAGCGCACTGTGGGCGACCTCCGTCTTGTCCCCCAGCCTCTGCAGGGGGCTGGCCAGGACGTTCTTGCTCATGCTGGCCTGGGGGCCACCTGGGAGGGCAGCAGGAGGGTCAGTCCCTGTGAGCCCCAGGACCCCAGGCCTTCTAGCCTCCCCTGCCCAGCCTCCCCTAACCCACATCCAGGAATGTTGGGGGCACCATCAGCATCATCCTGGTAGAGCAGGAACAGGCCAGGTACAGAGTGACACCCCCACAGAACCAGCATAGGGGTGGGGGATGTAGACCCTGCCAAGGTTCTGGAAGCTTCAATGGGTGTCCCACTTTGTGTCCGGCTCACATATCAAGGCCAGCAGCCCTGTGGCCTCTACCTCCAGGGAGCAGCTGCCCAAGTCCGGCTGACCATTAGTCCATCACAGGTGTGTGCTAACCAAGAGTGGCTCTGACTCGGCTTGGGGACAGACTCTGCCAACCCTGGGGAGCCATGAGGACCTGGCACTTATCCCAGGCCTGTCCCAGCCAGATGGGAGGGGAGCACGCAGAGGCACTGTGGGGCCTGTGCCCAGGGGACCATTTATGGGGGTCCTGGGCTCCCCAAGAGCCTTACCCAGCCGCCGGAACCCCTCCGTGCCACTGATGGGGCCGGGGGCAAGGCTGTTGACACGGATGTTCTGGGGACCCCACTCCACAGCCAAGTGCCGCGTCATCGCATCTGCACGGAAGGAAGGCAGGCAAGAGGAAGAATGCAGTGCTGCTGTGCCTTCTGGGGTGGCCTAGGTGTGAAGTGGGGCTCAGGGCCAGGGCCAAGGCCCGGCTTCTCCACTGCCCACCACTGGGCTCAGCTTCAGTCAGACACTGCCGGCCTCCAGGGATGGAGAGGGACCCAACGGGCACCCAGGTTGGCAGACCAGAGGGGGCACCCGTACCCACAGCTGCCTTGGCAGAGCCTGCATGCACTTGGAGCACCTGCCCCCGGGTACCCAGTGTTGCGGTGATGTTCACAATCACCCCTCCATGGTCCTGCAACACACGGCGGGAAGGGGTGTGAGTGGGTGGTCAGAAGAGGGGAGGCCCCAGCCACGAGGACACCCACCCGGAAAAACTTCTCGTAGAGCACGCGAGACACGTTGAAGGTGCCCAAGGTGTCAATGTCCATCACAGTCCTGAAGGCGTTGGAGGACAGTGCGCTGGCAGGGCACAGGAAGTTTCCAGCTGCACCTGCAGGGTGGAAGGAGACGGCAGGTGCTGGAGCTCCGGGCGGCTGGACCCTCAGGGTGGTCCCAGCTGGACCGGGGAGGAGACCCAGGCATTTGGGTAAGTTCCTGAATGACAAAGGCAGGACCGATGTCATGGGTTGAACTGTGTTCCTCAAAAAGATGTGTTGTTGGGGCGGGCCCGGTGGCGCAAGCGGTTAAGTGCATGTGCTCCACTGCGGCGGCCCGGGGTTTGCCGGTTCGGATCCCAGGCGTGCATTGATGCACCAATTGGCAGCCATGCTGTGGCGGTGTCCCATATAAAGTAGAGGAAGATGGGCACGGATGTTAGCCCAGGGCCAGTCTTCCTCAGCAAAAAGAGGAGGATTGGCAGATGTTAGCTCAGGGCTGATCTTCCTCACCAAAAAAAAAAAAAAAAAAGATGTGTTGAAGTCCTAACCCCTGGTACCTGTGAATGTGACCTTCCAGGTATTTGGAAATACGATCTTTGCAGGTGTGATCAAGTTAAAATGAGATCATACTGAATTAGGGTGGGCCCTAAAGCCAAGGACTAGTGTCCTTACAAGAGGAGAGGACAGATACACAGGGAGAAGGCCATGTGAAGAAGGAGGCAGAGATGTGGCCACAAGCCAAGGAACACCCAGGACTGTGGGCCACACTGGGAGCTACGAGAAGGCCCTGGAGCAGAATCTCCCCTGGAGCCTTCAGAGGGCGTGGCCCTGCCAACACCTTGGTTTCGGATTTCTGGCCTTCAGAACTGAGAGAGTGTATTTCTATTGTTTTAAGCCACCCAGCTCGTGGTACTTCCTTAGCGACAGGAAACTAATACACCTGATGTTTTTAGAAGGGAATTTCAGCAAAGAGTGAACATAAATGTAAACTAAGACTATAGTTAACAATATGTATTAATATTGGTTCATCAGTTGTAACAAATGCAATATGTTAATAATGGAGGACACTCTGGGGGGGTATATGGAATTCTATGTATTATCTACCCAACTATTCTGTAAATCTAAAACTGTACTAAAAAAATAAAATTCATCCTTTTTTTTTAAAGAGGTAGCTTCAGGACATGAGAGTGCCCCCCAACTCTGTGATTCAGCCAAGTTCACGGAGCGTCCACTTGAGCCATGGCTGCACTGACCCGGAACGAGCAGAGCTGGGCCAAGAGAGTGGCCTGGAGTCTGGACAGGAGTTCTGGGGTCTCCAAAGCCCCCGGTCTGGTATTGCTCACCCGTCAGAAGCCCCCTGGCCTTGCCCACAGCGACTCACAGTTAATGAGAATGTCGATTTTCCCAAACTCCTTCAGTGCCTGGTCCACGGCGGCCGTGATGACTGGGGGATCTCGGACGTCCAGAGACAAAGGGAGGCACCGCTGGCTGGTGGCAGCAGCCAGCTTTCTGGCAGCCTAGAAGCCGGACAGAAAAAGAGAGGTGGGCAGCAGCCGAGTGGCCTTGGAATGGAGGAAAAGCCTTTCAGAGTCTGGTGAGGATGTGCCCAGGTTCTGCTGGGAGGCTGGAGTTTGCTGCTGGACCTTTCTCTGGGGAGGCGCAGCTGGCAAGTGGCCAGTCCCTGGGGCCACGACCCTTGGTGGACATTTCTAAGACCTCCCACACTCTCTCCCTCCCAATGGCCCCAGGATCCTCCCTCCACATCACCCTCCAGGCCACCGGTCACTGGTAACTGGTCAACAGCAGCTCCAGCTGATTTCCAGTCCCTGCCGAGAGACCAGCTGTGGCAGTGATGGGACTCTCCTCCCAGGTGGGGGGGACATGTGGACCACCCTCATAACCCTGGTGAGCCCAGAGCTCTCTCTTGGAGCCACAGTATCACCCAACACGAGGCCCCCTCACAGGACCCAATGATTAGACTTAAAAAACAAACAAACAAAGATGTCCTCGGGAGGCCACTTCCACTGAGGCTCCATATTTGGGAGAGGAGAAGGTTTTGGTGTCACCATCCTCTGGGCCTCAGGACCCTCCAGACCCAGGCTCCAGGCCCACACAGCCACCCACAGACAGGTGGGCACAGGAGAGACCCCCTCACCGTCGACACTCTCGGAAGGCTTCTGCTGGCGATGACCGTGTGGCAGCCATGCCTGCAAAGCCAGAGGGCAGATGTGAGAGTGGCAAGACATGAGGGACACACCCAGGTGGACTCCTGCCCGGCACTCTAAGCAGAACCCCCTTCCCCCGGGGATCTCTAGGGCGGAAGCACCAGCCCAGGGCTGAAGACACAGTTGGCAGAAGACACAGGGGCCTGAGCAGGGCTGAGCAACTGTGGTGGGACCTCAGGAGGGTGCCATCAGCGCCCACCCCATGGTTTCTGGGTTGGGCCTCTCTGGCACAGGGTATCCCAGCCACACAGGGATGCAGGACCCGTCCCAAACACCATATGCATAGAACCAAAGCAGCTGTGAGCCTCAGATGCGGGCCCAAGCATCTGCATGGAGCCTGCTGGGTCCCGCTGGCTCGACCCCACACGCCCCAGCCACCCTTTCCCTGTGAGGTTGGAGTGAAGGACAGAGCCCATTCTGACGCCAGGGTGCCTTCTCTGCCTCATGTCCTGACAAACTCAGCCTCGTGGTAACAACAGCAGCTACCACCTGCTAAGCAGTTCCCACCTAATGTCAAAACTACCTTGAGCACGGGTGGCCACGCTGCGCTCTGCTCTGAGAAGCAACACGCACAAAGACACCAACTAGGAAAACGAGTTCCCCCAGAATGGGTGAATCCCAAAACCTTGTCCAGTGGGACTCACCTCTCTTCCCACCTTCTCTGGGGAGAAATTGAGGAAGGTCCCTAGGATATCAACAGGCTCCCTCTTCCCCAACCCCAGCCTAACTCTGGGCCTCTTCCTGGGAGGGGTGACAAGTTGCTGACCAGGGCCTGAGGCCACAGAACTTGTGTCCCAAGAGACACTGTGCTCTGCAGAGTGCTAGGGTCCAACTTGGGCCCCCCAGACCCTGGCTTGGCAAGGCCCCAGAGGGCCCTGCAGCAGAGTTAACTCAACCTGTTGAACTCCCCGTCTTTGTACAAATGTGGATGCTGAGGCCAGAGCCACAAAGTCTTGACTAACCTCTAGGAGAAAACCCTGGAGTCTTGCCTCCCCTGGAGCACTTGACCCCCTTCAGATGCTCCCTGGTGGCCCCTTGCCCAAAGGGGTTCCCATCACCCACCAGTGTCTTGCCCAGGGATCCCAGGATCCAGCGGGGTCCATGCAAGGAGGGGCAAAGGTCAGGGGTTGGCACCGGGCACACAGGGCAGTGCTCACCGCATGAAAATCTCAGCAATCCGGAACCCGATCCCAGACCCACCACCTGTGATGAAGGCGACTTTGCCCCTGAGAGAAGACCAGAGGCTCTCTGTTAACTGAGGGGCGGGGGGGAGGTGGGTGGTTCTCAGAGGACTTTTACTGCCTGCACCTTATCAAATCTGAATTGTTGGCAAGGAACATGGATGATTTTTGTAAGGAGAAACTGAAACGTTGCTTTTTAAAGCCTGCATTCCTAGGCTTTCTAGGTCTTCAGGAAAAAATATCTCAACCTAAAATTCTCTATTCAGAAAGGTATCAATTAAGTAAGAAATGATTTCAAAACATACAAGGCTTCCCCCACCCAGTCCTCTCTCCCAGGATTACCACCATGAATCCCCATCACCACTGGCCAAGACAAACAACGCGCCCTCCGCAGGGCAAAGATCAAAATACCGGAGCACTCGCATCCCTAGGGCCACCTGGACATCTGGACAGTCTGGCGGCCGGGCACGGGGTCCTTACACATCCCAGTAAAACCGCAGTCCCTGTGCCACCTCTGCGGAGGTTGCATCCCGGGCGCCCCGAGAACCCGGCCCCGCTCGTCCCTCACCGGAGCAGGTCGGGGCAGAAGAGGTGGCGGTACTCAGGAAGACAGTCGTCCTCTCCGACGTCGGGCGGCTGCTGGGCCATGGCGCTCGGTACGGTCCGAGGGCGGCGAGGACAGCAGGAACCCGCCCGGGAGAGATCGGCGCACCAGCCTCCGCCTCCGGTACTTGCGGCGCTCTGGGGCCGTCTGCGCTCCGCCCCTACCGGCCCGGGATTCGGTGGCCCAGCCCACCGCCGCTGCCCCACCCACTGCAGCCCTCACTCCTCCCGGGACGTCCCGCCCGCCGCCGCCTCCGCTCCTCCTGGGACGCCTCGCCCACCGCTGCCGCCCCGCCCACCGCGGGCCTCACCCCTCCCGGGACGCCCCGCCCGCCTCCGCCTCCGCCTCTGCTCCTCCTGGGACGCCTCGCCCACCGCTGCCGCCCCGCCCACCGCGGGCCTCACCCCTCCCGGGACGCCCCGCCCGCCTCCGCCTCCGCCTCTGCTCCTCCTGGGACGCCTCGCCCACCGCTGCCCCGCGGCCTGCTGGGACTGGAAGACTGTCCACGCACCGCGGCGAGCCGGCTCCCGCAGCCAAGGCGGGGGCTCGCGGGCCGGCCTGGGGCTTCTCGGCTTCCCCCACTGCCGCGAGCCCAGCCGTGCATTTAAAACACCTAGTTGGGGTGTGCTCAGCATTTCAGCGCCCTGGTCTCAGGACACCTCCCTGCCCTGTTGCATAAATATGACAAAAGAGGAGAGCAGAGGGCCGGCCCGTGGCTTAGCGGTTAAGTGCACGCGCTCTGCTGCTGACGGGCGCTGACGGCCCAGGTCCGGATCCCGGGTGCCACCTACGCACCGCTTCTCCGGCCACGCTGAGGCCGTGTCCCACATACAGCAACTAGAAGGAAGTGCAGCTAAGACATACAACTATCTACTGGGGCTTTGGGGGGAAAATAAATAAATAAAATCTTTAAAAAAAAAAAAAAAAGAGAGCAGAGAAGGGGACTAGGGCCCAGAAAGCCACGGAAACGAGGAAGGCCAGTCCCTGGCGTGGCCAGCCTCAGTGCCAGTTTCCAAAATGACCCATTTGGTGGCCGATATGAAAGATCAGGGCACTTCACTCAGGTGGAGACACAGGTGGCAACCTGTCAACTTAAAAAGCAAATTAGTCTGTTAATTTAGCTCAAAATGAGTTTACTCAGGGATAGCCAAGAATTACAATTCAGGATGTGCGTGCTATGGAGAATCATAGGCAACTTCAGAGAACAAAGCAGGGAAGCTGCCTTTATTGAGAAAAAGGGGGAGGAGGGGCTGTTCTAAAGTAAAGTCCCTTGGAAGAAAGTGACAGTTCAGGGCAGCAAGGGCTCGTCGTTGGCTGAGCTGCAGTGTTTCTGATTGGCCAGGCTGTTGGCCAGTAGGGAGAGAAATCTTCCTTCAGTAGTAGTTTTATTTACTGTCCGAGATGCAAGTGTCCTGTCTGTTCCTGTTTGAAGTAACTGACAATGTGTGATGGGGCTGAGTGCTCCCCCTACAAGCCTCCTGACTCCGATTTAGTTAAGGTTCCTGTTATTAATTTCCACAAATGGATGCCATGAACCCAGGCCCCGGGCATCGGTCACCAAGATATCAAAAAGTAGAGTGAGGACCAAGTCAGCCTCAGCAGGTGTAATGGTGTGCAGAGTCCAGTGCCTATGATGAGTGACCAGGGACACACCTGGGAACCAGGTGAGGTGTGACATGTGATGTGTGTAGTGTCAACATGAAAACAAGTGGACACCAGGCAGCTCCGGGCAGCCTCAGCTACATGAGGCCATGAAAAGGGGAGAGGGCCGTTGTCACCAGGCTTTGTGTCCTGGGGGTGGTCTCAACCTCCCACCCCCACCCCTTCCTGCCACCCTCCAGTCCTGCCCAAGGCAGGCAGCTCCTCCTTCAGCAGGATCAGAGTGGGGGCTGGGACAGCACCAGCTCAGGAGCTCCACTTGGATTCCCCGATTTCAGGCTGGAGGTCTCTGGACCTCTGCCTGTCTCATACATTCAACAGTTATTGATCTCCTCCTGGAGTGGGAGATGGTAAGCTTCATCTCCACTCTCAACCCACTTACAACTCTGCATAAAGGCCTCATTTCTACCTCAGAGATGGCAGAAGCCATAATGAGCGTTCCACCCCACACACAGCACAGTAAATTTTAATGCCCCCTTTTGGGGGAAGGGAAGTCACACTACCCCCTTTTGGAGACACCCCAAAGGTTGTCTGGCACTTTGGTATAGAAAGGATTTGCTCCAATCTCTTGCTGGCTTCAGATGCTAAAAGGCACATCAAGTTGGTGGCTCAACCCCTCTGGACTGGCAGGAGTGGGTGTCGGCAGAAGGTGGACAGGGAGGTGGTCTGGATAGATGGGCAGAGCATGGGCATGGGCTCAAGTTCTCGTCCACGGAGGTAGTTGGTGCGTGCTAGGTGGATGCTGAGGTGGCCAAAGGCAGCCTGAGTGCTCAAGCTGGGTAGATGCTGCTGTGGTGGCCTTCATCTGCCCAGTCCACCAGCTCACTGCTCTGGAACCACAGCTGGATCTCCCTCTGGGCCCCCTCCACGGAGTCACTGGCGTGAATGACGTTTCTGTGCCAGGTGATGGGCGGCAGAGGTAAGGCACAGGCTTCAGTGTGCACCTTGGGGGTCCCGGGGACGGTCTGCTGACCCCCTACTGTCTAGGGGAGCCAGCTGGGTGATTGTGCAGAGAGGAAAAGAAGACAAGGGAGCTGGAAAGCTGGGTTCCAGCCCAGCCTCAGCTTCTTACCCACAACCTCACGGCCAGCCCAGACTATTTCTGGGAGCCTTACCTGCCCCAAGTCATCCCATGCCAACCCCTTGGGGGACAGAGTCAGATAAGAGACAATGATAGCAGAGGATGTACACAACACATAGGGAACGCTTTATCGTCTCCGGTGTGTGTGAAAGGGCTTTGAAAAAACTGCACTAGCAAACGACAGGTGTGACGTCCCCCCATCAACAGTCTCTTCTGGCTTCACCTTCGCCCAGCAAGACACCCAGGTCTCATGGACCTGCTTCAGGAGTAGGCTGCTACCCCAAACGCAGCCCTCCTCAACCCCTAGTGAGCCAGCCCATCAGCTCCAAGTGGCCCAGTGTGTCAGGGCCCCCGTACCTGCTGATGTGGATGCTGAAGTCTCCCCGGATGGTGCCAGGCGAAGCCTCAGCTGAGTCGGTGTGTCCTATCATGGCTCTGGAGGTGCAGACCACATTGGGGCCCTCCCAGACCTGCAGCACACAGATAAACAAGGCCGGCAGAAGTGCGGTCACCAAGGGCTCGGTGGCTCTGGGCTCAGCCTGCCTCTGCCCTACCACTGCCCCTGCCCCGCCATACCATGGCCACCACGGGGCCAGAGCGCATGTAGCTGATGAGGGCTGGGTAGAACGGCTTCCTCCGAAGGTCATGGTAGTGCTCAGCAAGGACACTCTCTGGTGCCTGGGTGGCATTGGGGGAAGAGGTGACAGGAGCCCCAGGAGAGGGACCCCCACAGGGAACTGGGGCAGTCACTGTGGTGTCCTGACCTCAGGGCACTTTGCAGATAACACCTACATGGGCTGGCATGCCAGCCACAGGAGCACAGGGCAGATGCCTCCCCATCCCTCCCCTCTAGGCCAACTCCTGTCGCAGGGCTGAGATCTGAAGGGCTGAGGTCCATGAGAAGCCCCTCCCCCCAGTCCCCACAGGGACACCCACAGGCCCAGGCTGAGCCCTGGTACCTGCAGCATCTTCATCCCCACCAGCTTGAAGCCCCTCCTCTCAAAGCGCCGGATGACATCCCCAACGAGCCGCCGCTGCACCCCATCTGGCTTCACTGCGACCAGGGTCCGCTCCCGGGTCCAGGAGGGCCCTCCTTTAGAAGAGAGGGGATCAGGGCTGCCGCCACCTCACCCTTTCACATCTCCCCAACCTGGGTTCCCCTGCCAGGGCCCAGGTGTCACCTGGGCTTCAGAGTGTCTGCCTGTACCAGAGCAGCTCTGGAGGGGAGATGCTGCCCAGCATGGTACTGCCTGCTGGGGACAACCAGGGCAGTGGGTTCCCAAAGGCTTCCAGTCTGCTGGAGGGGCATGGCTCCTCCCAGCCCTTGGCCAAAGCTGCCCATGATGGAGCCAGTGTTCCCTAGGAAGGCATCTTAGAGAGCCTGGAGGCCGGGAGAGGCACAGCCCAGCTCAGTGGCCACCCGGAAGCCCAGAGATGCTGCACTGGAAAGAAAGCAGGACTCCAGAACTTTGGGGTGATAACAGAGATACCATCTGAACCCCCAACCTGCCACATCAGGAGGGACCCAGAGGTCACCTTCTGGGTCTGAGGTGAAGGAGGGAACCAGGGAGAAGCGAAGTGCACTTTCCCGACCAAGTGGACCACAGACACTGGGACAAAAGTGACCGGAGCATAAGAAGGAAGGTAGGGGGTCCCAGTCTGCAGGTGGGGAGACGCCAGGGGGCTCCTCCTCTCACACCCTCGTTGGCAGGGCAGGAACTCTGTGCTGCTGCACGGTTTCAACGTGGGAAGCTTCCAGACCCAAGGACAGTGCTGAGCCCTTGAGAGGGGACACTGCCAGGGAGACAGGAGCCGTCATCAGCCTCCTACAGCCCCAGGCCACTTCCAGAGTTACAGTGACCCTCAGCATCAGGTCCAAGGTCAAATGTGCTTTTGAGAGGACCCTGGACATCCTGCAAAGAGGGAGGACAGAACTGGAGGAGAAATGGGGGTTGGACAGTGTCCCTGGGGGCATCTGCAGCTGCCCTTCCCCAAGCCCAGGAGGAAAATTAACCAGAACATGTGCTGGGCCTGGAGAGCAGGCAGGGAGTGCCCACCACATCCCTTCAGGGCTGAATGAAGCCCACTGGAGGAAGCCCTCCCGGCTTGTTTGTTCCCCCAAAGCCAGTGCCTGCCCCGGCTCTCCCCCTGCGTCTAGCCTGGCCTGCTGCCAACTGGCTAGTGCCTTGGAAAATGGCAGTTTACTCTTCCCAGCGTTTGGGACACCGTGACACCTGGCCCTCAGGGAGCACCCTGGGGGCCAGCAGCAGGGGCGGAGGACCCGCTACAGACACGGGCCCCAGGCCGGGACGGGCCAGGCGGAGTTAGGGCCTGGACAAAACGCCCCGAGGACAGCGGCTCCGTGGGGAGCGTTCAACTGCCGAAATGACCCCCTCAGGGGCCCCAGGTCCGCTGGGACCCGCATCACCGCCCAGTGTGTCCACCAGGCCTCTGACTCCCTCCCGCTCCCAAGCCCTCGGGCCCCCCCGCCTGGAGGCAACCTGGGGAGGTGGGCGGTGGGCCTGGAGGGGTGGGGGGCAGTGAGCGTTGCGGACGGGCGTGCAGGGCCACAGGCGCCCCGGCGGGACCCGAGGGCGGCCTCCCGGCAAGTCAAGCGGGCGGCGGGGTTCCGGGCCCCCCACCCCAGGGCCCGCAGGCCCGCATGCGCGCCAACAAAGGCCGGTGGCGCCCACCGCCCGCCTTCCCCCGGCGCGGCGCGGGGGACCCGACTCACCCGAGCTGGGGCGCGCGAGCAGGCGAGGACCAGGGGCCTTCGCGCCGCACAGCAGCCCCCGCAGCGCCCCGCGTCCGAAAAGGCCGCCCATGACGCCCGGCCGGGCCGTCGGCGGAGCGCGGGGTCCACCAAGCCCAGTGTGGGGGAGGGCGGAGAGGGGGAGGGGCACAGGGAGGGGGAGGGGTGGAGCGAGGGGGAGGGGCGCAGGGAGGGAGGAAGGGAAGAGAGGAGGAGCGGAGGAACCGAGAGAGGGGCGGAGGGAGGGCGGCACCAGACTTCAGGCCCCGGCCTCCGAGCTGGACCCGACCCGAGCCCACACTCCGCCACCCGCAGCCCCACCCTGACCCTGGACCCCTTGCAGAGCCCGTGGAAATGTTTGTCAGTTTCCGTTAAAATCGGAAGAAAGAGCCGCCCCGTGGCTTAGCGGTTGAGTGCGCGCGTTCTGCTGCTGGCGGCCCGGTTTGGGACCCCAGGTGCGCACCGACGCACCGCTTCTCCGGCCATGCTGAGGCCGCGTCACACGTACAACAACTAGAAGGACATGCAGCCATGACATACAACTATCTACTGGGCCTTTGGGGGAAAAATAAATAAATTAATTAATTAAATTTAAAAAAAAATTCCAACAATCACCAAAAAAAAAAAAAAATCAGAAGAAAAAAGCATATGATAATAATGAACCCAGCCTTGATTCTATTCATCTTCATACCCACAGTGGGTATGAATATCATTTTAGATATTTTTTATGGAGGGGCTCACGAGAGTGCCCCTGCGGCCCCGTCTTGGGCGGTGCGCCTCCCGGTCATAGGGCGCGTCTCGCAGCGGCCTTCTCCCCGGACCCGCGGCTCTCTCAGGAGTTACACCCTCAACCTGGGTCAGAGAAGGGGCTGGAGGGCGGACCTGGGCCGTCAGGCAAGGTCGGAGCAGGGCGCCTTAACCTCCCCTCAGTCAGTGCATTTGGGTGGAAAAATCCCACCTTTCTTACCAACCGGCCTCTGATGTAAGTACTATTTGAAATAGAGGTCTTCTGCTAGATCCTATGTAGTGAGTTTTTGAAAAACACACACGCTTTTTGATGCTACTGTGAATGGAATTGTTTTCTTAATTTCGTTTTCAATTGTTCATTGCGAGTGTATAAAAAAATTATTTTTATATATTGATCTTGTATCCTGCAACTTTGCTGAACTCATTTATTAGTTCTAATAGATTTTTAGTGGATTCCTTAGAATTTTCTATGTACCAGATTATGTCATGTGGGAATACAGATAATTTTACTTCTGTCCCAATCTGGATGCCTTTTACCTCATTTTCTTAATTAATTGCTCTGGCTAGAATCTCCAGTACAATGTTGAATACAAGTAGCCTGCTTTTTTCACTGTCTTAAAGTGGGAGGTTAGGTTATTGCTTTGAGATCTTCTTTCTTTGTGTGGCAATTAATAAAAGAAACCTTAAGAAACATACAGGAAGGCCTGTAGGGGGTGCTCTCACCCCTATCACACGTCCTAAATTACACTAAACGGAAACAGACGGGACACTTGCATCTCAGACAGGAGGTACAACTGCTTTACTGCTGAAGGAAGATTTATCTCCTCACCTGGCAACAGCCCAGCCAATCAGAAATGCTGCAGCTCAGCCAATGAGAAGCTATTGTGGCCCTGAACTGTTACTCTCCCCCAATGGACTTTCCTTTAGAACAGCCCCACCCTACTCCCACTTTTTAACTATAAGAGCAGCTCCCTCCTTTGTTTTCTGGATTTGCCTATGGTTTGCCAGAGCATGCACATCCCGAATTGCAATTCTTTTGACTATTCCCAAATAAACTCATTTTGAGATTAAAAAACAGGCAAATTTGCTTTTAAGTTGACATTTGTTAGTATAGACATTTACAGCTATCAATTCCCCTCTAAATGCTGCTTTAGCTGTATTCCATAAGTTTTGATATGTATGTCTTCAATTTCATTCATCTCAAAGTATTTTCTGATTTCCTATACTTATACTCCTCTGAAAACTACAAATCATTGTTGAAAGAAATGAAAGAAGATCTAAATAAATGGGAAAACATCCCATGTTTGTGGATTGGAAGACTCAACATTGCTAAGATGGCAATACACTCAAACTGGTCTACAGATTCAACTCAATCCCTAGAAGAATTCTAGCTGACTTCTTTGTAGAAATTGATAAGCTGATCCTTAAATTCAGTGGGTTTGCAAGAGACCCAGAATAGCCAGAAACTCCTGAAAAAGAACAATGGAGGAGGACTCACACTTCCCTATTTCAAAACTTACTACAAAGCAACAATAATCAAGACAGTGTGGTTCTGGCACAAGGATAGGCATATAGAGCAATGGAATGAAATCGAGAGTTCAGTAATAAATCCATACATTTATAGTCAACTAATTTTGACAAGGGTGCCAAGACCATTTAATGACGGAAAGAGCAGTCTTTTCAACAAACAGTGCTGGTACAACTGGACATCCACATGCAAAAGAATGAAGTTGAACCCTTCCTCATATCATATCAAAAAGTTAACTCAAAATGGGTCAATGACCAAAATGTAAGTACTAAAACTATAAAACTCTTAGAAGAAAATGTAGGAGTAAATCTTCATGACTCTGGATTTGGCAATGGATTCTTAGATGTGACATCAAAAGCATGAGCAACAAAAGGAAAAACAGATAAATTGGACTTCATAAAAATTAAAAGCTTTCAAAAAAATTAAAATCTTTTGTACTTTAGAGCACGCCATCAAGAAAGTACAAAGACAACCCACAGAATAGGAGAAAATATTTGCAAATCATATCTGATAAAGGACTTGTATCTAGAATATATAAACAATTCTTACAACTTAATAGTAAAAAGATAAATAACCCAACAAAAAATGAGTAAAGGATCTACCTGTGCTCTTCAATAGAACAAACACTAACCACATCTGGCTGTTGAGCACTTGAAATGTAGCTAGTCCAAAATGAGATGTGCAGTAAGTATAAAATATACACTGGATTCCTAAGACTTAGTACGGAACAACAGTAAAATATCTCATTAATCGTTTTTGATATCGAGCACCTGATGGAATATATTAGATATATTGGGTTAAATAAAATAGTTATTAAAATATAAAAAAAAAATGAGTAAAGGATCTAATAGACATTTCTCCAAGGCCGTACAAATGGCCAACAAGCACATGAAAAGTTGTTCAACATCATTAGTCAGCAGGGAAATGCAAACCAAAACCACAAGATACCACTTTATACCCACTAGGACAGCTAGAACCAAGAAGTCAGATACTAACAAGTGTTGGTGAGGATGTGGAGAAACTGGAATACTCCTACACTATTGGTGGGAATGTAAAATAGTGCAGCCACTTTGGAAAATAGTCTGGCAATTTCTCAAATGGTTAAATACAGAATTATATGACTCAACAATTCTACTTCTAGGTATATACCCAAGAGAAATGAAAGCATATGCCTACAAAAAACTTATTCTAAACAAATGTTTAGAATAGCAGTATTGACAATTGCCAAAAGCTGGAAACAACCCAAATGTCCATCAACAAATGAATGGATCAAGAGAATGTGGTCCATCGATACAACAGAACATTATTTGGCCATAAAAAGGAATGAAGTACTCACACAGGCTACAATGTGGACGAACCTCGAAAACATTATGCTAAGTGGAAGAAGTCAATCACAAAAGTCCACATATTGTATGATTCCATTTATACGAAAGTCCAGAATAGGGAAATAGAGAGAGACACAAAGTAGATTAGCGGCTGTTTAGGGCTGGGGCGGGGGAAATGATGGGGGAGAGGGAACACGATTGCTAAAGGGTATGGAGTTTCTTTAGGAGGAGATGAAAATGTTCTAAAATCAACTGTGGTGATGGTTACATATATATGTGAATATACCAGAAACCATTGAACTGTAAACTCTCACATTTTCACTCACGTCCTCATCTGGGTTCTGCTTCCAGAAAACCTGGCCTTAGGGAGATAGATGTGAGGCGTGGAAGCACTTTATGAGCACATTTGAATACAGCAGAGCATAAATATGAGACTGTGTTTATTTCTCCATCACGACGTTTCTCTGTCGCTGACTCTCATTTCACATTCATTACTGAAAGTGGGTGCACTTTATAAATACATCTGCACAGTTTTTATTTCTCCGTGACCATGTTCCTCCATTCTAGACCCTCCTCTCCCATCTCTTAAGGAGCAGATCTCATAGCTCTCAGATCATTTTCAATTATTACAAGTCCAGCTTAGTGTGGCTTAAAAGCTCCACCTCATATCCATTTTAAGACTCATTTCTTCCTCCGCCTGTGGCAGCCAGGTTTGGCCCAGGTGCGGCTGGTCTGCGATGTCCCTTCTCTCCAAGCTCCACCCTTATCTGGTGTGATGGAGGGAGCAGTTGGTTGTGCTCAGCCTGGTTTGATTCTGCCCCCACTGTGGTCTCTGAGCAGCTGATGTGCACGATTTCCTCATCTCCCAGTTGTTCATATTGCAGCTTGCTCCTGGCAGGGCAGCCCAAGTTCCTTCTGAGACTTAGGACTAGTTAGGCATCCTATCTCAAGCCCTGCACCCCTGGGCCCTTCAAGCAGAGCCAGGCTGAGGGCCACAGAGAGGCCAGTGGGTCTGCGGCCTTGTGAATAGAAGGGCGTGGTCAACTGTCCTCCCCTGACCTCTGCATCCCCTGACCCTCAGATGCACTGAAATCCCAATCAATGTCCCAACAGGATTGTTTTATGGTCTTGACAAGCCCTCAAAATATAATGTAGAAATGCAAAGGGCCAAAATACCTAGACCCTCCGAAGAAGATGAAGGTGAGAGGGCTCATTCTGCCAGGTCTCAATCCTCGTTGTGTAGCTGTAATAATTCTATGCATGGCCTGGGTGTTGACAATGGACCAATGGAACAGGGTACAGAGCCCAAAGGTGACACATACCCGTATGAGCACCTAATGTATGATCCAGGAGCCACTGCAGATCAGTGGGGAAACAGACTTCCCAATAAATAGTGCCGGGTCAGAGGATATCTATACAGAAAAAAAAAGAAAAAAGAAAGACCTAATCTTACACACATAGAAATAAATTTCAGGCAGATTAAAGACCTAAATATGAAAGACAAATCTATAAAGCTTTTAGAAGATAGGAAAATATATTCACGACCTTCTGTGGTAAAGAATTTCTTGAGGCACAACAAGTACTAATCATAAAAGAAAAAATTGACAAATTCAACTACATTAAAATTAAGAACTTCATTAAAAACATCATGAAGATATGAAAATGGCCAAAATTCAAAACACTGACAACACTAAATGCTGGCAAAGATATGGCGCAACAGAAACCCTCATTCATCGCCGGTGGGAATACAAAATGGTACAGCCACTTTGGAAGACAGTTTGGCAGTTTCTTAGAAAACTAAACATACTCTTAGCATGCGATCCAGCAATCACGCTGCTTGGCATTTACTCAAATGAGTTAAAAACCTATGTCCACACAAAAATCTGCACACGAATATTTATAGCAGCTTTATTCATAATTGCCAAAACCAAGAACCAACCAAGATACTCTGCGGTAGGTGAATGGATAAATTAACTGTGGTCCGTCCATACAGTGGGATACTATTCAGTGCTAAAAAGAAATAAGCTATCATACAGCAACTAGAAGGATGTGCAGCTATGACATACAACTATCTACTGGGGCTTTGGGGGAAAAAAATAAATAAATAAAATTATTAAAAAAAAGAAATAAGCTATCAAGATATGAAATGACATACAGGAAACTCAAATGCATATTGCTAAGTGAGAGAAGCCAATCTGAAAAGGCTACATACTGTATGATTCCAACTATAGGACATTCTGGAAAAGGCAACACTATAGAGACAGTAAAAAGATCAGTGGTTCTTAGGGGTTGGGGGAGAGGGAGGGATGAATAGGTGGAGCACAGAGGACTTGAAGGGCAGCAAAACTACTCTGTATGATACTGTAATGGTGGATACATGTCAGTATACATTTGTCAAATCCAGAATGTACCACACCAAGAGTGAACCCTAATGTAAACTATGGACTTTGGCTAATGATAGCGTCAGTGTTGCTTCGTCTGTTGTGTCAAATGTACCACACAATCTGGTGCAGGATGTTGATAGTGGAGGAGGCTGTGGTGTTTGGGGGCAGGGGGTATAAGGGAACTGTCTGTACTTTCTGCTCAATTTTGCTGTGAACCTAAAACTTCTCTAAAAAATAAAATCTATTTAAAAACACGCATAGACCATGAAGAAAGAAAAATACAAGTCACAGAATGGGAAAGAATGTTTCCATCACCAAAAATTATACAGGTCTAGAGTCCCATTACTAGAAATCAACGAGTAAAAGACCAATGACCTAACAGGACAGCAGACGAATACTTGAAGATTCACTTCTCCAAAAAGGAAATCTGAACAGCCGATAAACACTTGCAAAGTTGCTCAGTCTCAAGAGGAATCAGAGAAATGCAAATAAAACCTCAGTCTGAAAATTCCAAGTATTAACAAGGAGAGGACCATTGAAACTTATACGCTGCTAGTGAGAATTTCAATTGACAAAACTCGCTGTGGTAAACAGCTTGCAATTATCAAGAAAGTGAAAAGACAAGCTACAGAATGGGAGAAAATATTTTCAAATCATATATCTGATACGGGTCTAGTATGAAGAATTTAAAAAGAACTCTTAGGATTCAACAACCGAAAAACAACCCAATTCACACCCTTATGCAACCCTCTCCCCTTGAGGGTGGGCTGTACCCAGTGACTGCTCCTAACAGACAGAATGCAGCAGGAGAGACGGAAGGTCACTGTCGAGATCTGGTACCAAGACTCTAGCTGCTTCTGCCTCCTTCTTTCTCTCTCTGCCTTGGGGCCCTCACTCCAGGAGAAGCCAGTGGCCATGTTGTGAGCAGCCCTGTGGAGAGGTCCATGTGACAAGGAACTGATGTCTCTGGCCAACAGCTGGTGAGGACTTGAGGCCTGCCAACAGCCACATACATGAAGCAGATCCTGCCCGAACCAAGCCTTGAGGTTCCCGCAGCTCTGCTGACACCTTGACTACAGCCTGTGAGAGACCTTGAGTCAGAACCACCCAGAGAAGCCCCACCCAGATTCCTGCCCTGCAGAAACCGTGAGATAATAAATGTCTGTTGTTTTAGGCCAATAAATTTTGGGGTATTTTGTTACGCGGCAGTAGATAACTAATACAAAGACCAACAATGGAGGCGTGAGTGGTCTCACCAGCATGCCAGTACTGGCATTCAGTTGCTCTGATGGTCCGTGGGGCTGTACTGCCCCTCAGAGGCCAGAGCTGGGACTGTGTCTGGGCTCCCTCTATCCAGCTCTCTTCCCGGCGGCTCCCTGCTTTCAAGGCTTGGCTTGTCTGGTTTCAGTCCTGGGGTGTCAGCACTCTGAGAGCCCCAGAGCCTGACTGAGGATGAGATGGAATGGAAATTAGGGATGAGCACAGCCTTGGATTTCTGGAACATTCCTGTGGATCTACTAGGTGGTCCTGTGCAGTGGGCTTGGAGAGACCCTGCCCTGCAGGGTGGGAGGAGGGGTGGCCCAGGAGGACCAGATTCTGTCCCAGCCCTGCTGCTGTTGGCCTCATTTCCTCATCAGTGTAATGGGGGCATTGCCCTACATTGGGGTCTCCCAGATGTTTTTAAACTTGTGCCTCCTTTGGATAAACATAGAAGTTTCCGTCATGCATAAGAGGAGGTGAGTCTCATTCAGAGTCAGGCCTGGGGCTTCAACACTGTGTGTTCCTCGTCACCTGCAAGCCAGGAGCCAGGAGGAGCTCTCAAGTCTGCTTTTTACTATTTCTAGATATCTTATTACTATTTCTCCGATATCTTACGGATTTCTAATTTAATTCCATTGTGGTCAGAGAACATATTCTCTATCACTTCAATTCTTTTAAATTTATCAAGAATTGTTTTATGGCCTAGTATATGATCTATCTTGGGAAACAAACCACGTGCACTTGAAAAGAACGTCCACTCTGCAGTAGCTGGATGCAGTATTCTATAGACATAATTACTTCAAGGTGGTTGACACTATCATTCAAATAATCTGTGTCTTTACTGATTTTTTTCTCTAGTTTGTTCCATCAACTGCTGTGAGAGGGTTGTCAAAATCTCCTATTCTGATCATGTGGAAATGCCAGTTTCCTTAATTCTGTCAATTTTTACTTTATGTATTTTGAACCTCTTTTAAGAGGTGCAGGGGCCGGCCCCGTGGCCTAGCGGTTAAGTGCGTGCGCTGCGCTGCTGGCGGCCCGGGTTCGGATCCCGGGCGTGCACCAACACACTGCTTCTCCGGCCATGCTGAGGCCATGTCCCACATACAGCAACTAGAAGGATGTGCAGCTATGACATACAACTATCTACTGGGGCTTTGGGGGATAAATAAATAAATAAAATTATTAAAAAAAAAAAAAAGAGGTGCATACACATTTATTTCCCCCTTATGAATTGACCCTTTTATTGTTATGAAATGTTATCGTTATGAAATATTTTTGGGAATGCTCTTTGTCTTCAAGTCTACTTTATCTGATAGAAATATAGGCACTCTGGTGTCTCATGCTTATTATTGTGTAGTACACCTTTGTCCATCCATTTACTTTCAAACCATCTGTGTCTTTATATCTGAAATGAATCATTTCTAGGTAGTTGGGTCTTGCTTTTCTTTATTTTTTTTATTTTTATTTTTTATAATTTTATTTATTTATTTATTTTTCCCCCAAAGCCCCAGTAGATAGTTGTATGTCATAGTTGCACATCCTTCTAGTTGCTGTATGTGGGACACGGCCTCAGCATGGCCGGAGAAGCGGTGCATCAGTGCGCACCAGGGATCCGAACCCAGGCCGCCAGCAGTGGAGCGTGCACACCTAACCACTAAGCCACAGGGCCAGCCCCGGGTCTTGCTTTTCTTTAAATCCAGTCTGACAATCTCTGACTTTTCATTAGGGTGTTTAGTCCATTAACATTTAATGTAATTATGGATATAGTTGGATTTAGGTCTTCCAGTTTACTATTTGTTTTCTGCTTGCCCCCTCTGATTTGCTTTCTTTTTTTTGTGTGTGAGGAATATCAGCCCTGGGCTAACATCTGCCAATCCTCCTCTATTTTTGCTGAGGAAGACTGGCCCTGGGCTAACATCCATGCCCATCTTCCTCCACTTTATATGGGACGCCGCCACAGCATGGCTTGACAAGCCGTGCGTCGGTGCGTGCCGGGGATCCGAACCGGCGAACCCTGGGCCGCCACAGCGGAGCGCGCGCACTTAACTGCTTGCGCCACTGGGCTGGCCCCTGATTTGCTTTCTTTTTTTCCTTTCCTGCTTCTTTTGGATTAAATGAATATTTTAAAATTCCATTTTAATTGTCTATTGGTTTTTTAGGTATACCTCTGAATTATATTTATACTGCTTGCTCTAGGGATTGTAACTACATCCTTAACTTTTCACAGACTATTTAGAATTAATATCATACCACTCCATGTAAAATGCAGGAATCTTGCAAAAATACAGGTCCATTTTCTCCTTCCCCCGTCCTGTATACTATAATTGTCCTCCTAAACTGTAGTCATTTTTTCCCAAATCTCCTATATATAAATGTACACAAACGTTATAATTTCCTGGGACCGGTCTGGTGGTGTAGTGATTAAGTTTGCGTGCTCTGGCCTGGGGGGTTTGCAGGTTCAGAGCCTGGGCACAGACCTAGGCACTGCTCAAGCCATGCTGTTGTGGCATCCCATATACAAAATAAAGGAAGATGGGCACAGATGTTAGCTCAGGGCCAATCTTCCTCATCAAAAAAAAAAGTTATAATTTCCTATACTCTTTATTTCTTCCTGAAGATCTGAATTTTCATCTGGTATGATTCTCCTTTCTTAGAGAGCTCCTGTTAGCATTTCTTTTCTTTTTTTTTTTTTTTTTTTTAAAGATTTTATTTATTCCCCCCAAAGCCCCAGTAGATAGTTGTATGTCATAGCTGAACATCCTTCTAGTTGCTGTATGTGGGACTCAGCCTCAGGATGGACGGAGAAGTGGTGCCTCGATGCGCACCCGGGATCCGAACCTGGGCCACCAGCATTGCGGCGCGCGCACTTAACCACCAAGCCACAGGGCCAGCCCATCTTTTCTTTTTTTAAAAACCACTTTAGGGGCTGGCCCCGTGGCTTAGCGGTTAAGTGCGCGTGCTCTGCTACTGGCAGCCCGGGTTCGGATCCCGGGCGCGCACCAACGCACCGCTTGTCCGGCCATGCTGAGGCGGCGTCCCACATGCAGCAACTAGAAGGATGTGCAACTATGACATACAACTATCTACTGGAGCTTTGGGGAAAAAAAAAGGAGGAGGATTGGCAATAGATGTTAGCTCAGAGTCGGTCTTCCTCAGCAAAAAGAGGAGGATTAGCATGGATGTTAGCTCAGGGCTGATCTTCCTCACACACACACACAAAATAAATAAATAAAACTGTAAAAAAAAAAACAACTCGTAGCATATCTATGTCATCATTTATTCACCCACCCCAAGTTTCTGCAACTACTAACATTTGTGCAGCCAGCACCCCTGTGTATCTGCCCTTGGGGCCTGTGTTTCCCATCACATTTTAATGTCGCCACAGTCACCTTCAGAGGGTGAGGCAGTTCACATTCCTACCAGCAAATCGTGAGGTGCCTGTTACCTGCGTCCTGAAAGGGCCACATGTGCTGCTTATGGGGTGTCTTAAATTGTTTTAACATGTATTAAGATGATTTGACCACTAGTGCAATCGAGGAACATTTCACACATGGCAGGCCATTTGCATCTGTTCTCATCTTCTCCTGTAAAGTGCCATTACATACCCTGTGTCTATTTTTCTTTTACCTTGTCTTTTTTTCAGTGTGTAAATTTCCTTTCTATCTTAAGTATATTAATCCTTTATCATATGCATAGCACATATTGTCTCGCATTTCTTTTTTGATTTTATTGATGGCTTCTATCCTGCTTTTTACTCTCACACTTTTTATACTTAATAAGTAACTTTTGCTTCATGGTTCCCCAGTTTCCTGTCCATCTTGCTTAAATTCTTTACCATCTCTGTATTCTAAGGGATGTGTTCTAAGTTTCCTTTTAATATTTTTATCAGTTTATTCCTCACAGGTGACCATCTGATCTAGTTGGAATTCAGTTTTCTGTATGGTGTGAGGTGGAATACAGAACTGTGTGTATGCAAGTCCCTCTGGACAGGGCCCTCCGTCTCTGGGCCTCAGTTTCTCCCCTTCAAAACAAGGCGCTCAAGGTGGGTTCTGGGTTCTTTCCACTGCTAATGCTGTTACTAAGCAGAGGTGGCCGAACTCCAGTCCGGGGTTCCCTGTCCATTGACAAGTTCACCAGCCCCAGATGGAGCCGTGGGGGGGGGGCGGGCGGGAGCAGGGTGGGGGATGAGGGGATGGGGAAGTTGTCTACTGTCCCACCCCTACCTGGTGGGAACTTGGGGCACAGGAACCACGCACTCAGGGGAGGCCCCGGGAGTGACCAGAGCTGGTGGGGACCTCAGCTCAGCCTGGGGCAGGGGATGGGTCTTAGATGGAACAGTCCCCAGTGCTGATCACAACTGCTGTCCCCAGCATGATCTGGGTCAGCACAGTGCACTAAAATCACAGTTCAGCAAAATCCAAATTAACCCCTGTCCCTTTAAATTGAGAACCAGAACCTCAGGAGGCCCCTGCTGCCTGGATTCCAGAGGACAAAGGGTCTCTTTTATGGCTTCACATCCCGGCCTCCTTCCTCCCTAGGCCTCACCCTCCACCCCCACTTCCCTAGCCTTCAGTGGCCTAGGGCTGCTGGGTCAGCTTCTCCTCCCTCCCCTCCTGTAAACCCTCCTCAACCCCACCCCAGTGGTACAAAGTTCTAAAGGTACAAACAGGTGTAGCCCCCTCCCCGCATCCTCAGTCACCTGGTTCCCTCCCCCAGGTCAGCGCAGCCTGCTGCCGGGTGATTCCAGTCCTTCCATGCCTTCGACGCATGCAAATAAAATGATTTTTAATTTTTTCTACAAAAATGGTAGCTTTCTGAACACACTGTTCTGCCCTTTCCTTTTTCAGCTACAGCCACATCAGGTAGACCATTCCCAGTTGGTACACCAAGCCCCCTGGTTTCCCTTTTACAGCTGCACTGTGTCCCCGTATTTGAATCACGGTGTGGGTGCCCACGACTGGGATGCCCCATCCTCGAATGACTACCCTCTGGGTGTGTGCTGCACTGAGATGCAGTCTCACACTTCAGTGACCGTCTCTGTGGGGAAAAGGCACAGCGCTGCGTGACCCAGTCAATGTTGTGTGCTCGCCGAGTCTAGAGGCTTCTGGCAGGCTCAGCTGGACCACTGCTCACTAAACAGAAACATGGCTGCTGGCCCACAATCTCGCCCTTTCAGCGTGATCAAACTTTTTGATCTTTGCAGATGTGTTATGTGAAAGAAAAGGCATCTCCGTGATCAAACTTCTTGATCTTTGCAGATGTGTTATGTGAAAGAAAAGGCATCTCCGTACTTTTCAATTTGCATTTCTCTAGGGAGGGAGGTTGGAACCTCTTCCTTTTCCCTTGCAGATCCTCCCCAGGAATCTGCTTGGGTCTACTGGAGAGTGGGTCTTTTCTTATTGATTTGTAAAAGCTCTTTATTATTGAACTCTTTATTATTGATCTTATTGAGATTGGCCCTTTGTGGTATGAGTTGCAGGCATGTCCTCCCTGTGTTTTGACTTTGCCTCTGAAGTTTGCTGTGCAGAAAGCATTGATTTTCACCTAATTGAATTTCTCAGTCTTGCTTCTAAAATCCTCTGGGTTTTGGGTTCCATTTAGTAAAGCCTTCGCTTCCCCAAGACTCTGAAAAAGTCCCCCCAAGTTTTCTTCCAGTCCCTTTACCGTGTCCTTTTTAGGCTTAAACTCTTAATCCGTTTGGCCTTTACCCCGTTGTAGAGGGTGGGGAGTCGGTCCAGCTCGCCGACGTGAATCGCCCCCTCATGGTGCACGAAATTCCCACGTGTACAAGGAGCCTTTTCATCTTTCCGGAAAAGTGTGTTTGTACACACACTCGTAGCGGCTTTGTGGTGTGGCGGAGCGGGAGGCTCGGCCTGGGGAGAGGCCTATGGCGAGGCGGGAACTCCTTCAGGACTGGCGGGGTGGTGGGGGCGCGCCTCATCCCGCGGCGCCGCGCCCACGATGCAGTGAACTCACAGATGCGTCCCGTGGACCCTCCCAGTGCCTCCAGGAGCATTTGGGGCGCTTTGTGTGTCCCCCGCCGCCTCCGATCTTCCGCGCGTTCCAATTCACGCCCCCATTCCCCCTTGGTTGCACGACCCCCGCGCGCCCCACTCGGTCCGGCACCACCCCTCTGCTCCCCATTATTCTCGGTCCCACGTCCCCCGCGCGCCCCACTCGGTCCCGCGCCACCCCTCCGCCCCCCATTCCCCCTCGATCCCACGTCACTCGCGCGCCCCACTCAGTCCCGATCCACCCCTCCGCCCCCCATTACCCTCGTCCCACGTCCCCCGCGCGTACCACATGACCTTCCATCTTATCCCGCCCTGCATTCCTCCCATCCGCGCTCGCGGTCGCCGGGCAGCGTTCCACCTCAGTCCGCGACCTCCCTGCGACCCATTTTCCTCGCTCACCCCCTCCGTCCCCATGTCACCCTCGCCCGCGCCGCCCCACGCCCCGCGTCCTCTTTCCGACCCAGGTCCCCGCGCGCCCCGGTGCCCCAAGCTCCGCGGCCCCTGCGCCCTGCGCCCTTCTCCGGCCCGGCTCTCGGCGGGGCGGGGCCTCGCAGGCGGAAGTGCCCGGGGCGCCGGCTGCTGAGACCCGTCGGGACCATGGGAGCCCGGGGCAGAGGC